CTCCCACCTTTGACAGTTTTACTGTGGGGGGGGGAGGGGGCGAACTCTCGCGGTATTCCTGAGGCCGCGCCGCGACGGGGAGGGACGGGTCGTGGGGGAGGGGTCCCGTCGGGCTGGCCGTCTCTCCGGACTCTCGGGTCCATCACGTTCATCCGCCAGGCCTCCAATGCAAAGTGACCAGTTATGTGGCCCATAGAGCGGGAGGCCTTTTTCAGGCAGTTGGGTAAACTGAGGCACCATAGGGGCACAGGGTACTGCCCCAAGTCCAGCGCGCTAGGGCTGAAGCGGCCAGACTCCTCTAGGCCCTGGCCCTGGGAAGGAGTGGCCACCGCCCTCCCGGACCCTGAATCCTGGCCCCAAGGGGACTTGTGCCTGCAAAGAAGAGTGCCGCTTCTCTCCCAGCCAGCCTGTGACGCCTCTGCCTGTGGCCATCCTCCGCGGTACTCTGGCAGGGCTTGGTTGGGGTTACCATCATTGGACCAGCCTCTGTCAGCTCTGGGGGCGGTGTTCCTAGACCAGCTGCCAGCGCCTTGCTCCTCTGTGCCCCAGAACCTGGCCCTCTGCAAGGACACTGGTATCAGGTCTGGGGTGTTGGGCGCCAACCCCACCAGGACTTGGGAGTGAATGAACCAGGAAGACGTGCTGGTGGGGGAGCAAAGCTACAGGGTACACCTCCTTCCACCCCTACCCTTACACTGCACCCCCACACACACACACACACACACACTCCCACCCCTCTGTCCACAGGTGAGCAGGCTCAGCTGCACTGCTTGTGGGCAGGGTACAGAAGATGTGGCAAATTGGGTCTGCCTCTTCTCCAGGGACCCTTGGGATGTGCTTCTGTCAAGGCCAGCACGAAGTGCTCACACAGAGGCAAGGTGGAGGCCCTCTGTGGAGGGGTCAGTCAGTCAGTCCTTCCCTTGGAAATCAGAGCCAGAGAGAGGTCTGTGTGACCCCAGGAGGAAGGAAGAATATCCCTCCCTCATTGACTGGGCCCACCCTGGGGACAGGACATTCAGGATTTCAGTAGGGGTCAATGTGTGTGCCCTGAGGTGCATCCAGTTTTGTCAGCATTCCCCGTGTAAGTCTGCATGTCCGTATATGTGACATGTCAATGTTGGTAGGTATGTGTCTGAGTGACCATATATGTCAGGTGGCATCCTGTTTGAACATCACAGTGTCAGGGTACGTCTGTGTTCTGTACTAGGTGAGAAGATACCTGTCTGTATGTTAGTACCCAGGTGACTGGACACAGGGCCTGGGGGTGTGTCTGGATCTCACAGACATGTATCCGGGCTGCAGCATGTCTGGAGGTCAGGGTGTCATGCAATATCATGTGTGTTTGTATACAGGGTGTGCCATGCCCTGTGTGTTTCTGTACATTAGGGGGTCATTGTGTGTCTGGGATGCTGTGTTGGGACGTGTTGCGGGTCTGGATACTGGTGTCATTGTTTCTGTGTGTTGGCGTGTGTTCAGAGTGCAGTGGTTGGTTTATGCCTCTGTGTTACTATCTGTGTGTCTGGCTGCTGCCTGGGTACATGTCAGGGCCCGTGCTATGACCTGTATGTTCCTATGTGAAGTCACTGCCCTGTGGGGGTGCCAAATGGGGATCTCCAAAAGGCAGCCACATCAAACCCCTGGAACCTATGAATGACCTTATTTGGAAAAAGGGTCTTTGCAAATGTGATTGAGTTAAGGATCTGGAAATGAGGAGATCATCCTGGATTATCTGGGTGGGGCCTAAATCCAGTGACAAGTGTCCTTGTAAGAGGGAGATTTGAGAGATAGAAGGTGATGTGACCATGTGGTCCAGATGCAGTGACATGTCTATGAACCCAGGAATTTCCAGGCAGCCACCAGAGCTGGGAGAGCAAAGGAAGGGTCTCCCCTGAGCCCAGGAGGAGCAGGGCCCTTCCGGATTCCAGACGAGTGGCCTGCAGAACTATGAGAGAATCAGTTTGTTGTGTTAAGTCTCCCGGTTGTCATCATTTGTTATGGCGGCCCCAGGAACCTACCACACCTGTGTGCGTCTGAATGCAGTCCACAGGCCTGAGCCCACAGTTCCAGCCTCTGCCTTTGGTCCCCCCACTCCTGACATAAACAGGCACCCTGCCAGGATGCCACATCACTGTCCCCTGGTGGCCCGGGCTGGAGGCAGCTGGGCCTGGAGCCCCCTCCTCCCAAAACCAGGGCTGTGCCCACCCCAACACTCCTGTTGACTTCAGCAGGACACCACACTGGGGCACTTGAGAACCAGGTTTATTTCTGGTCTTTTTGTAAGGATATAAAAAGTGAACGCAAAACAAGACAAGACAGGAGCTTGGGGATGGGGGGTAGGGAGGCAAGACAAAGGAAGGAGAAGGGGGCAGAGATGGGAAGGGCCCTTTGGAAAGAGCGCCATTATGATGGCATAAGGTGGACAGGGACACTCAGGGCAGCCAGACCTGACAAGGGGACTTCCCATGGGGGGCATACAGGGTGGGAGGGCAGCAGGCCAGTTGTCCAAATTCCACCTGGGACATGCACCTACCAACCTCCTGTTCCGAAGCCGGCATAGGGCACAGAGAGGGGGTGGGGTGCTCAGCCTCGTCTGCATCCCAACCCCCCACCCCTCTGAGGTTTTCAGAGCCCCTCCCCCAGGGGAGTGGGAGGGCAGAGGGGCAAGAGGGACGAGGCAGCAAGACAGCCCTCACTGTCCCTCTGCTGGGCAGCACCAGCCCCAAACCTCAGCCCTCCGGGCCAGGAGGAAGTGGTTCTTCAGGTGCCTCCTGGGTCTCAGGTGGGCGGGCCAGGGGGCGGGACATAGCCCTCAGGACAGTCTCTTGTGTGATCTGGGTTTTTCTGGGAATACCCACCCATTCCTCTGCCTCCAGAGTGGTCTCCATGACCCTGAGAGGTGGGGAACTTTCCCAAACCTCAGGCCAGGACACTGCCGAGCCCAGTGCTGGGCGCTAGGCGTGGGGTCCTTATCGTGCGTGTTAGGTCTCCAGTGCTTGGGCAATCCCGGACCTGCCTCACCTGATGGGGGCGTGGTGAAGGTTTCATAAATGGGTGAAGGTGCTGGGCAGGGTGCCTGGCCGGGCAGATGCTGATGACCATCATCTGGGTAGTGGGGTTGGGACTGTTGGGTGGGGGCGGGGGCGGGGGCCGGGTATAAGGAGCCTTGGCAGTTTATCCCACCTTTGTGGGCAGTTCTCTAGATGCTGGAGGAGGGTGTTGAACTGGACAAGTGGATGGACAGACAGACCTCTCACCCTGGGAGAGGGCAGGATGCCCCGAGGACATGTAACTCAGCCAGCAATGAGGGACAGACGTCAACGTGGGTGAAGGGAATATAAATAAACACTCCTTGGGAGTTTGGGGAACATCCAAACCCCACTCAGGCCCCAGGTGGCTGCCCCACATGCTGCCAGCAGCACCAGGGGTGGGCCTCGGTTCAGGTCCTGGGAGAAGGGACCATACTCAAGCAGCCCCCACTGCCCGACCCCAGGCATAGCCCACAGTGCGCAACCACAGGTAGCTGGACGCGGCAAATCTGGTCACACCTGTCCATTGGGCCCGACTCGGCCCCTGGGGATGCCTGCAGGGTCCAAGAGGGGCTGCGTGGCCAGCTCTGCCTTGTCCTTGCCACTGGCTCCGGTCACAGTGCTGGGGTCTGGGGTTCAGGCCTCAGGCAGCAGCTAGGACATGTTTCCGAAGGAAGCTATGGGTGGATGGGGTGAGGAGTGCGGGTCTCTGGCATGGTCCCCTCTGCCATGGGTGCAGGATGGCCCTTACTGGGATCTCACAGCAGGGTCCAGCCACCCACCCCTACACGCAGGGCCGCCAGCCCTGCCCCGCCCCCGAGCCTCTGCTACCGCGCTTCTGGCTCCTCCACTGACCTTGGCTGAGCAATTGCAGGCTCCGCCCCTCCTCGCGCACCTGCAGGCGCAGCACCTGCTGCAGCACCTCCTGCCGCTGCGCCTCCTGCGCCAGCCCCATGCGCTGCAGCTTCTCTGCGTTCAGCCGCAGTAGCGCCCGGCCTGGGGGCGGGGAGAGGGGCGGGGCCGAAGTCAACTTCCGGTGGGCATCCGGAGCCGAGGCAGAGAGAGAAGAGGGAAGGGGCCCGAGACTCAGAGACAGGGGGAGACTGAGGAAATGGCGGGGGAGGGACATAGAGACACATAGATGCAGAGAGACCGGGGCGGGGGGAGAGAGAGGAGGAAATGGGGGCAGGGAGACAGACACACAGATGCAGAGACAGGCAGAGGAAAGCCAGATGAAGACACACAGAGAGGCTGGGAGACACAATAACAGATTCCACACAAAGACCGGAGGAGAGGCTGACTCAGGAGGAAACACGAGAGGGTAGAAAGAGGAAAAAGGACAGGCGCTCCTGGGATCCCTGCGCCCCCATCCCCACATCCCCCAACCCCACAGCACCGGTGATGGCGTGCTGGGAGAAGGCCTCCACGTAGACGAGGTAGTTGTGGGGACAGTGCTTCTTAAGCCACTTGCAGACGTCCTGCTGACTCCACAGGACCACAGGCCTCGTCAGGCCACCCAGTGACGGACTCGTGTGGTATAGGCCACAGTGGTCAGAGTAGAGCCGGCCCTGTGAGGGAGAGGGGTAGCAAATGCAGTGAGGTGGTGGGGAGGGCAGGGGCTGAGGTGGGTATGGTGGGTGGGTACCTGGGGGGTCTCTGTGCCAGGCTGCTGCAGGAGCTTGACTGGCCGGCCGCCAGCTGCCCTCTGACTGCGTGAGTCATGCCACGTGAGGCTGGTGCCTGGTGTCCTAGGCAGGTGGCAGGGGATGCTCTCGGTTGACACCGTGTGCTCCAGGAGGGTCCGGCAGAAGCTGAAGTGGGCAGTGGCTGCGGAGGAGGAGTGTCTGTTCAGAGTGGTCAGGGGCCAAGCCAGAGGCTCCTCTCGTCACTCAGCCCACCGCCCCTCCACTGAGGAAGGAGCCACTTTTCCAAAGGCAGAAGGAAGCGTCAAGAGCTGTCTTAAGGGCCCAGCCCAGCCCCAAGTTGAAGAAATGGAACACCTTTCCCCCTGAGTCCACAGTCCGCACTCTGGGGAGCAGGATGGATTCTCTTTAGAGAGAGGAGATGCTCACCGGGGAGCCTAAGACTTACAGCCAGGGGTAAGGCTATCTTGGGACAACCCTGACCTCACTCTTGCCTTGAGCTGGCACATGCCACACCAAACGAGGGTGCACACACAGGACCTGCCTACGAGGACACATTGGACCGGTGTCCTGGGAGGCCATTATGGTGGGGAAACGCCCCCGGGTGTCCTGCCGGCCCATCATCGGGGACTGTGCCACCTCTGCAGCCATACTTGCAGTTTGAGGCTTGGCCCTGCCCTGCTGCACTCACAGCTTGTGACTCATTGTCAAGAAGCCTAAACTCGGAGCAAGCCTACACCTTGGATTCCTGCTCCCCCAGCTCCCACAGGGTCGCCGACCCAGAGTGGCTCCTATGCATGGTGGCTACGCAGCCGCCACAGGCCACGCGGCACAGGTGTGCAGGCTGCAGCCATGCGCTCAGGGACCCCCGAGGACACTTCGAGCTCTCTTCCCACACCAACCTCACTACGCTCCTTAACCTTTTGGCTGTGCCATCATTTCTGGGCTGGCTGCTGACCTGAGTCAGGGAGGAGCAGTCGCCTGGTCAGGCCCCTCCCAAGACCTCGCACAGGTCCTGGTGCACAGGAGGTCCATCCCCGCTCACTGCCCAGAAACGTTGTGAACAAATGAATGGATAGACCGGATGGACGAAGGCTCTGTATGATGTGCACAAAGCCCTGCAGACAGGCTGCCCTGGGCCCAGGCTTGCCTCATGTTTACAGCATCCAGGCCCTGACTCAGCAGGCAGTCAGGTTCCAGGTCAGGGTGAGACCCTCTCTCCCACGGACACAGCCCCCAACCCCGAGGGCAGGGCTTGGCCCTTTGCCCAGGTCTTAGGAATGGGGGAACCCACATCTTGCTCCCCTCCTTCCATCCCATAAGATTCCTTCCACCCCATTACTGCAACTTTCCACTATCAGATGACCACAGGTGACTCTAAATTTGAGGTCTAGGGTCAGACTGAGAGTGTGGCAGCCGCCTCGAGGTGGCTTCTAGTACCGTGGGAAAAGACTTAAAGCCGAGACCTTTCAAGGGACAGGCCTTGGGTCGCATGGCCTCGCCTCACCAGGCACGGCCTGGGCAAACCAGTCGGACACCTCCGTGGGCGTCGCACCTGTCCCGGGCCAGCGGGTCCCGCCCATTTCCTGCCCGCGCTGGGGGGAGGGATCTCCGTCGGTACGTCTGTCTTTCCCTCCCTCCCTCCCAGCCCCAACGTCATAATTCCAGTAGAAAATGGGGCGGGGGCGCACGAGCTCGGCTGTGGCCTCGGCCCCTTCTCCGCTCCAACGCAAGGGGCTGGGAGGGTTTTATCCGCGCGAAAAAAAGATGACCGCACGGTGGTGCCAGCCTGGGGACAGAAGCCCCGGCCAGTCATCTCCCCCAAGCCAAGGGTGTGCTGATCCATCCCCAAGGCCTGAGGCCGCCCTTCCTCGCCCCCAGCGCAGGACAAAGACACCAGGGACCCCAGATCCGTCAGGTCGTGCCCCCCACTCCGTCGGCTGCTGCCGCTCAAGTCCGCCAGGTCCCGCCCGGTCCCTCTCGGTTCCCAAGCCCCCAGTCCACGATATCCCTGCGCCCGGGTCCATCCCCGCTCACCGTCCACATCCCGACGCTCCCCGAAGCCGGCGCGCACAGCCCCGGCGCGGCCTCGCGGGGGGCTCAGCTTGGTCCTCAGCTCCGTGAACATGGGGCCCGCAGGTCCCCGGCCCGTGCACACGCCCCTCGCCGGGCGCAGGGCGGCCCGTGTGGCCGGCGGGGAACGCGCGCCACCGCCCCGCCCCAGCCGGCCCCGCGCCGGAGCCGGTCCCCGCGCCCGGCGAGTCTGCGCGGCGAGGCACCTGCCGCTGAGCCCTGAGTGCTGGGCGCGCTCCGGGAGCTCCGAGGTGTGTCGGCGGCGCGCGGGTCTGTGTATGCAAAGGGTGTCTGCCAGGGCAAGGGGCGTCCCTGCGCACCTGGGCATGGCTCCAGGGATGAGTGACTGGGCACCTATAGGGGTCCAGGCGTTAGCAAGAGCCTCTGAAGCAGGGAAGTAAGGACACATTCGTCGTGTGTGTGGGGTGGGGTGGGGGGGGGCATCCTACTCCTCCTGGGACCTTCTGCCCCCTGGGGCCCAGGTCAAGGACCAGACCTATCCCTTCCAACCACGTCCCATCATTTTCCTGCCTCAATTCACTCCTTTAATTTACATTCTCTAGGCCTCTCCAGAGGTCTCTCCCTCAGATGGGCACTGGCTCCCTCAGAGAAGTCAGTTTGACTCTGTCTGACCCCATCACACTGCGAACTCCAGGAGTACACCAGGGTTTCTCCCTTTCCCTCTGTAGCCCCAGAATCTGACTTAGTGCCCAAGACGTGGCACTGAAAGGGGCTTGGCTGGAGACAGGGAGGAGAAACCTCAAGGAGGTTACAGCAAGCAGGAGGGATGCGTTTGCTGCAGGACGCCAGTGAGAGGAGCTAGGACGGCCTGGGGCTGTCTCCTCCAGCAGAAGGCCACACTTGCGACCTGAGTTTTGCATGCTCTGCCAAGAGCCTGAGTGCTCTCCCAGGTATATGTGGGGGCCAGAGGATGTCCCACAGCAGAGTGTGCAAAGGTGCACGTGGCCATGCAGAAATGTATGCCGAGTGCTGTCATGCATGCCCACCGAAAACATGAGCACATGCCCGCTGATGCCCACAAGCAGAGATTGGTGTGGAATTCACCCAAGTGCTGTGATCATCCACGCCCACATACTGACTCTCTCGACATACCTGCTGCATTTATTTATTTCCGTCAATTAGCTCTCTAGGGGTGGGCTCCTGCGCTCACTTGAACTTTCAGGGTATTATGGGACTGCGGGTGGAGACCTGTGCCGGAATTGGGGCTCAGGAATCTGCGCACTGAGAGACGGGGCAGCAGTCTGTACACAGGAGCACCAGCAGACAGGTGTGCCCGCAATCGTGACGCATACACCCCGCACAAGCTCTACATTACTGGGTAGGTGTGCAGCTCCGCTCAGGTGTGTTTGAGCCTGCCTCGGGGCCAGGGCGACCCTGAAAGGCAGGGTGGGCGGCTGGGGCTGAATCCGAGGGGTCCCTGGTAGTTGGGCTTGCTCAGAGAGGGAGGGGACCCATGGGTCCTGCTGGTACAGGCAGGTCTCCTTGGAAATGCATCGAGAACACGCAGTAAGCAGGGGTGCCCAGGCTCAGCTTCGAGGTCTCCGGAGGTTTGTCCAGGAAGGTGTCGCCCTTGCACCTCTGGCGGGGCTGCCTGCTGGCCCTCCTCGCCACAAGGGGGCGCGCTCGCTCAAGCGCCTGCCGCATCTCCGCCCCTTAGCCGCGGCCGGAAGTCGCCCGGCCGCGTTTCCGGAACTTCCGCCCGGGGAACCCGAGGTGGGCGGGGCCTCGTGCCGACCGCGAGCTCTGCTTCCGGGGCGCTGGTGACGCGGGGCGCGCGGTCTCTTCCTGCAGCGAAGCCTCGGACGTCTGGGGTGTTTTGCCTCTTGCCGCGGTCTCCGTCCTTTCCCTTCCCGGCCCTCGTCGTCGCCGGCATCATGAACAAGAAGAAGAAGCCGTTCCTGGGCATGCCCGCGCCGCTCGGCTACGTGCCGGGGCTGGGCCGAGGGTGAGCACTGGGGCGGGCGCGCGGGCCCTGGGCCCCGGGGCCCGGCGGACGCGCCCTTGGGGAAGGGGCGGAGGGCCGGTCGGGGCCGGGGCAAGACCGTCCTGACCCCCGGCGGCGACGGGGAAGATGGGACGGTGATAAAGGCGGTTTGGCTTAGTCTTCGTGGGGAGAGCCGTTCTTGGGGTTAGGACAGACCCGAGGGAGTTGTCGTTACCCCGGAGCGGTGCGACTCGGGTGTCGCTACACCTGCGCTCTGAGCCCGTGTTTTGGTCTCTAGGCGGGTAATGACCCCGTTAAGCAGATGTGCTGGGAGCGCGGCGGCCACTCTCCGCAGGCCGGGCAGACTCGCCTCCACCCCCGTGTCAGGCAGCTCCCGGTCACGCCGGCGCGGGTCCTCAGTGCGGCGGCTCGTCGCGCCCCATTCTTTCCCTGTAGAGTCGATGGTCACACACGGCTCGTTCAAACCCTCAGCTCCTCGGAGCGGAGATGGCGTCTTTGAGTGTTGTGACTGGGTCCTCCCTGCCTGTCACACAGACTGCTACCGTAAATTGCTGAATAAAGGAGCGGTCGTTGTCCTGTTCCTTTGGGTAGGGAGACTCCTGGGTTTCTCTTGCTGGGGTAGCATGTTAGAACCCGGAGCTCGCCGTCTTCAGGGGACCCACAGTGCACTAGCGGAGGTGAGGCATACGCGTGAATAACTGCAGGAAGAGGAACAGATTTAGAACGGGTTCCAGGGATCAGGGGGTGCTCGACAGATGCTAGCGTTTGAGCCCAGTTTAGGAGGAAAGCTGGGTTTAGGGATGTAGCGATGTGGCAGGCGTATAGGAGAAACTGATGTTGTGTGTGTTGGTCAGTTAGGGAAAAAGGAGGCGTGGAGGATGATGAGGGAATAGCGGGGAGTCCGTGGGGCTGGGGTGTGCGGTGAGCGGAGCTCCTGTGGGCACTGCAGAGACGGCGCTTCAGGCCTGCACTCAAGCAGAGGGGGACTCGAGGCAGGGAGGCCAGCTTGGTTCCAGGGAGCAGGGGTTTGGAGGGAGACTCGGTACAACTAGGTGGCAGGTGGGAGGGAGAGGGAGGCGAGCTGTGGTGTCTGCCTTGGTGCCTTGGGCAGCACTGCCGTCATCCGCGGAGGTAGCCCCACACAGCTGCAGGGCGGGCACAGAAGAGGAGCTCTGACTGGGTCATGTTGGGTTTGAGGGCCTGCTTGGATGTGGAGGCTGCTGGAAATGGGAAGCTGGGGCTTGGGGGGGAGGCCCGATGCCCTGGCAAGTCTCTCACGGAGAATGTGGGGGCAGGACGGCCTTCGTGACCCTCGGGGTGGGCGGGAGGTTTCCTGTCTGAAGAGAGCAGACCGGGAGTGTGGGAGAGCACAGCCACATCCCTGCCACTGGGATCTTTGGAGAGTTCCCAGAGGTGTCATTACGTGACAGCTGTGTTGGGAAGAACACAGGAACAGGGTCACCCAGATCAATGGGCATCTTGGGGTCTCCTGCAGTGCCACTGGCTTCACCACCCGGTCAGACATTGGGCCTGCCCGGGACGCCAATGATCCCGTGGATGACCGCCATGCACCTCCGGGCAAGAGGACCGTAGGGGACCAGATGAAGAAAAACCAGGCTGCGGACGACGACGACGAGGATCTGAACGACACCAACTATGACGAGGTGACTTTTGGTGGGCCCCCTAGCCAGTCTGCAGAAGGCCGATCAGCTTCCTAACGCGGTGCGCTGTTGGCACCTGTGACGAGGGGCTGGTACCTTTCTTGTTTCAGCTACACAGGGTGTGTCCTCAGCAGAGTGTGAGAGGGGAGCAGGGAGAGTACAAAGAAATGTGCACTTTTGTTTTCAAGAGAGAGCTATGTAGAACCACAGCATCAGTGTTTTATCCTGGCCAGTGAAAATTTAAAACGGAATTGGTGATGGCGTTTGCTTTCCTTTGCTTTAGTGCTCACCCTCTTAGTTAATTGGTGTTTGGTCACTTGAAGTTTTCTTCAGATGTGTTCTAACAGATGGCATTTTTCTCAGAAGAGAAGATTTTAGCTCTTTAGTTCTGAAATAATTTTACGTTTACAGGGAACTTTCAAAAATAATACGGAGAATTCCTGCATACCCTTCATAAGCTTCTCTCCACCTTACATGGCCTTAGTACAATTACCGAAACAGGACATTAACACAGCACTCGTAACTAGCCTAGCGTATTACCTGAACCCCACCAGTTTTTCCGTCTGTAGCCTACGTCTGGCCCCCAGCCCGTTCCTGGCCGCCATGTTGCATTTAGCTGTGTCTCCTGAGGCCTCCTATTGGGATAGCTCCTCCACCTTTCATGCCCTTGACACTTGTGAAGAGCACTGATTATTTTGTTACTCCTCAGTTTGGGTTTATCTGACTGAAAAATGATGTTTAGCAAGTGTTTTGCAACTGGAAGTGTCCTGTTTCTGCTGGTGGGGATTAAGTTGGAAGAGAAGCTGATCCTCCAAATGTGTTGTCTGCTTCCCAGTTTAATGGCTATGCTGGGAGCCTCTTCTCAAGTGGGCCCTACGAAAAAGATGACGAGGAAGCGGACGCTATTTATGCGGCTCTGGACAAAAGGATGGATGAGAGAAGAAAAGAAAGAAGGTAAAGCTAGTTACTGCCCTTCTCTGTCTCTGTCCGACTTTGAACAAAAGTGGTGTTTGACTTATATCAGACTTGGAGAAGTGTACGAGCAGTGCGTGTGACTGTTCAGCTTGGAGCCCCTGGGTCTTGGTCTGTGCTGGCTGCACTTGGATGAACGCTGGGGCTGTCGGACAGTAGTCTTAGGGCCTGGGCACTGGAGTGGAGAGCTTAAGAACTCCATGTCCGGCTTTCCAGAAACTGACAAAATTTGGGGGATTATCTGACGACACGTCAGGGTTATCTTTGAAATGGACGTAGTGATGTTGATTAATGTATATTAAGTAATTTGGAAGTTCACTAAAAATGGTGAACAAACATTAAATTCTCGTAGGCAGGTGGTTGTGGCTTGAGAACCTCATTGCACACATCCGTGCTGGGACATGACCATGGGGAGTCAGGCTGGGCTGGTGGGGACAGACTGCAGTGAGCCTGGACGGCACGAGGCCCAAGCCAGCCCAGGGAGAAAGTGCGCCGTCTGTGGGGCTCGCTGGGGAGAAGACTGCTCCTCAGTGAGACCCTCCTGTTTTTTCTCTGGAGCCCTTGGGGGTTGGACTGAGCTTTGGTCTGGAGAACCTGTTGCAGTTGATAGGACAACTTTCTGAGTTCCCTGTCCTGGTTCTGGGAGATTTATGCAAAGCGAACACGCGATTTGCAAACCATGATAAGTGACATTCTGTGCAAGTTTTTATGTCTTTTTATTAAAAGAGAATACATTCTCATTATAGGATGTTAGGACAATGACAT